TGCAACCTTTTTTACAGCTATAGAATCCAACATCGAATCTAGCATTTGAAGCGTATGATAATAGCAGCTGAAGGGGAATTCAAATAAGAACTGGAATTGAAAAATTGTTATTTCCTTGACCAAGCCTTTTCCATTTTAAGAGGAAGGCTGGGAAATAAAGTTCAGATATTTAATTTTGAGTGAAATATAAGAAATAATATGGTCCATAACATATTTTCAGATATTATAGGAAATGTGAAGAGAAATTAGATAGGGACTGTATGGCATAAATATGGGACTCTTCCCTCAAATGAATTCTGATTTTTGGTTTCAACATTTCCTTAGCCAAAAATTCAAACTTTCTTCGGCCCAACGGGCTCCGTACTATTCTCATCCCTATTTTAGTTAATTTCATCGTAACATTTTTTAAATTATTTGAATTTACAAAATTAGAAAATTTAGTGCTTAATTCCTCGATTCTTTGGGTTATGATTTTCATATTCATTATTAATTTGTATTTATGGGTGAATTAAGGCCTGCAGCTTGGTAGTAGATGTAAAAGGCCTTTAATGATCCCCTGGATACATAAGCTCTTCATCTAACACATTTCTTAATAATACAAACATAAATATATTTTCATTGTATCTATTTCCTCAAATTTTATTAAAACACGCAAAGAAGAGTGTTTTATATATATATATATATATATATATATATATATATATATATATATATATATATATATATATATATATGCATCTAAAAAATATATCGTACTATTGCTTTCAATGAAATTTCGATAATGGAAAATAAATTATTTCAAATAAAAATAAATATTTTGTACGGTTATTTTGTTAAAACCAGTCATTTGTAAAAAAAAAATCTATTTAAATACATTAAAGTAATCTTAAACTTAAAAATGCAAATGTATAACCTAAATTGGCTATAATGAAAATAATTTTATGAAACGTGTTGAATTTTTAAAATATATAAAATTCATACGTTATATTAAAATGATGATAGAAAAAAAAATTATAGGTTGGATGAGCGAAAAACATAATTCATTGAGAAATGGTTCGGAGATTCCATTGAGCTATATGGGAATAAAATAGGAGTATATTTTCGAGGTAAGTAAAAAAATTATAAGATTAAAAAAATATGATAACCTAATTTATTTTGGTTGGTTTCACTATATCACATCGTTTATACAATTTTTTTATCACGTTTATTTTAATAAAAATCTTATAAAACACATACTTATTAATATTTTCCTTTAATTCTTGATACTTATAAGTTCTTTTTATGATAAGTGATTTTATTTATAACTTAATGTCTTAAATTTTACTTCTTGTCAGTAAATTTTATTATTAAGAGGTTTTAAACTTACAATCAAGATGTTATACAATTCAACTAATAATTTCATTATCTAAAAAATATTAAAATTGTTTTTTCTACACTAGGTAAGTCCTCACAACTCAAATAACTTGATTTTTTTTTCTCTTATTCTCCTCTGTCAGTTTGTTGTTGTTTCAAAATGATACATGCAAAAATATATGTTTAAATAAAACAGGATTCAAGCGTTTGAGTATCAAACGTAATAATCAATATCATCAACTACTTTACATAGACTTTTTATTTATATAAACTATAATAGACTTTTAATTACCACCAACATAATTATGGCTCAATCACCTTACTTGCAATTATCATGTTGATTTGCACTAATAATTAGACGTAAGTCTAACCATACTAGAGATATATGTAACAACCAAAAAAGCTATAAATATATTACAAACAAGTTTATTTTATATTTAATGGTCATTAATTATTTTACATAATATCAATCTCATAACACACTGCATATGAAAGTTTTGTAGAAAAAAACATTCTGGTATGTTTAGGAAATTCCCCATTATTTAAATATGTTTGATATAAAACATACATTCTATTTTCATATTCACAATATAATATAATATTCAAATTTCATAATCTGTACTGCTACTCATTTCTATCAACCTAAAGGTTTATCCACCTTACCATTCATTTGCTCACGTATAATATAAACGTATAATAGATTTATATGATCATTGCATGTAAGACTAGAAGATTATTAATTTTATTTTGGTAGTAGTTGAGTAGCTGTGTATTAATATTATTTTAGTAGTAGTTGTATTTATTGCGTATGGTTGAAAGGTGAATACTAAAAGTTTATAAATAGTCGATGTACTGTTCAAAATTTCAAAGGACAAGTACTACAAAGTGTTTATCAAGAAAAGACTTGTTGTCAACATGAAAGTCTTGCACATGTCATAAACTTTTCTCTATAGTAATTTCAATCATCAACAACAACAATTTTCAATCTCAACACCACAATTCTCGTCCCAAAATCATCATCCTTATCACAAAATCACCATAGCAAGGTTAGTTCCATTTTTTCCTTTAAGTCACAATATTGTTTCGTAATGATATCCTAGTTTAGGAACTTGTTTGAACTTTTACCACCTAAATTCTCTTTTCTATATGAGTATGAGAATTGAGTAGATTCAAGATAACTTAACACTGGAATCCATACACCAATGTATATATTATACTGTAAAATATTGACATTTCTGCTTAGAAATGTTCATATTCATACAATTCATCCAACATATATCAATAGAATAGTTATTGCTATTTTTAGTCACACAACACACTTCAATTTCAAAACAACTAATCTATATCTTATTTTCTAAAAATAAAAAGTTTTAGTTAGTATTACGCCTTCTAGCACTTATCGAATAGTCTTTACTTTAAGTTACCCCTTTCACTTGACAGTTTCAGAATTTTCAAATTATGTTAGTCTGATTCTTCAAACTAAGACTAAACTTTTCTTTTCGAGTTAAAAGTATTATCATCAAGAACATAGTATTTTACATTGTTGCGTCATATCACTATGAATGACGACTACAAGAAATGGACTTAAAAGGCCTTGTATCGATTCAAAGGTTTCCCACCTTTCCAACGAATATAGTAGTTATCCTCTTAATTCATTTCAGGAATGAACAAAATTCACTTTGTGTTCAAAAACTTCACACATAAAAAAATGAAATGAAATAAATATATAGACACCTCATTAAATAAATAAATTGAAAATATAAATTAGGTTACCAACATCTCACTAAATAGAATAAACATAAAAAATAAATATAATTAAAAATAATGTAATGCACACCTCACTAATAAAATAATGTTATAAACACCTCACCTATTAAAATAAATTTAAATAATAAAGACGAATAAATTAAAAATAACTCACTAAATAAAGTCAAGAGACAAATAAATATTAAAAAAATATTATAAACCTCTCACTAAATAACATAAATATAAATAATAAAGATAAATAAAAAATCAAATTAAAAATATCTCACTACATAAAATAAAGGCTTAATACCCTATTTTGTCCCCAGTTTCGGTCGAAAATGTCAAATTAGTCCATCCTTTAAAAAATGCGTCAATTACGTCCTCACTTAATAAAATTTGCATCAATGAAATCTCTTCCGTTAAATCCGTATCAACGGCGTTAATTATTTTTCTCTCTTATTAAGTAACGTCGTTTGTACGGATTTAACGGAAGGGATTTTATTGATGCAAATTTTATTAAGTGAGGACGTAATTGACGCATTTTTTAAAGGATTGACTAATTTGACATTTTCGAGCGAAACTGGGAACAAAATAGGGTATTAAGCCTAAAATAAATATACAAATGAGTATAAATAAAAACAATGTTATAAGCACCCACTAAAGAAAATACATATAAAAAAATAATAATGACAAATAAATAACAAATAAAGCAAAAAACATCTCACTAATTACAATAAATAACAAAATAAATATAAATAAATAAGTTTTAAAAAATAATAATTTTATATATGTTTCTCTGACTTCAAAATATATCCAAAAAAATTATACTTCTCAATAAATTGGATAATTCTTTTTTGAAGATGAAAAAAATAAAAATGAAAAAGAAAATGGAAAAAATTGATAAATCGAATCCAAATCTTTCTTATTTTACTTTTTTCTCTTACCATTATATAAAAAATTTATATTATTATTATATTTTTCCTATAAATTTACAAATATTTAATATTAAAATCATCATTCATTATTTAAATATTTTAATATTTAATTTTAGTATCTTATAGTATATCTGTCATTTCTAGACCAAGTCATTTTCATGAAACCCGGTTGAATATGTTTTATATAAAAAACTGAATTTGACCCGACCGGTGCCTACTATACAGACATTAATCGTATTTCCCACTACATATATATAAAATTCCGTAAATCTCTTATATACTATTTTGGCCAACGAAGGATGAGAAAGTAATAAATAATATGAAGAGTATCATGTATAATTGTGTTAAACTTTAAGGAGTACAGTGGTAGTTCATTAAAAAATAATAACAGTAAGAAACTATATATGCTAACAATATAAAATAGTTCTATGCTATCATTTAATTTTAAATATTATGTGTGAGAAATTAATTTCTACAATAGTTATTTTAAAAACTATATCAGTTTAAATGATAAAAATAAATTATAGCATTGATATATATTCAATAAATTTAAAATAGAAAATAATTTAGTAGCTTTTAAAAAATTTTAAAAATCATAAATGTGGCTGAGCTGGAACAGGTGAACAAGTTGGAATACAAAGTTTATTTTATGGGATAACAAAAATTTTCACATTTTTTTTGTTAATTTTAACATTTTTTAAAGATGATCTTTTAATACATTCTGGCATGATTTTAATAAAAGATTAATTCCTTAACCTGAATAGCAAGATTTTTGTTCTTGTTTTCTGTACCAAATGCAAAACAATGTGCTGAGAACGGTTACAAATCAAAAGGTCAATGTTTTATTAATAAATTGCTGAAAACTGATTAGAGAATTCATGGCACAAAACAAAGTAATAAATGCAGTAAGTCATTTTATGGTCTATATAATAGTTTAGCCGTTCATTCAGTAACACAACAAAAAATTGAGTTTTTATAGTTTGAGAATGATGGCTTTCGGGACACGCGTGTGCTTGCTTTTCCTTTTGCTCACATCTGCAGTCATGTGTTCTGCAATCCACAACCCCAAAGGTCATTTTTTTTATATAGTTTTTTGCATAAATCAGAGAAAACATAACACTTTTTTTAAAGTGCTTTTATTTTATTTTTGCAATGAAAATATACTGTTTTTTTTTGTTTGATAGATCTGGATTATCATGTTAAAGAAAATTTAAAACCAATTTTTTGAACTAATAAAAACACAGCCGTAAAAGTAATTAAAATATCGAAATTATAGTTAGTGTAGTGAATAACTCATAGAATAGTGAATCGTAGAATCGTGGTACAGATTATAGATAAGAATAAATAATAATTCAGTTGCATTAATTTTTATAGATAATTTTTTAATATTTTTTTCTCCCGTACGAAAGATCAAGACAACAATAGTGAAATTTTAATTAGACTTACATTTCATTTGAACTGAGTCGATTTACTATTTTATTCAACAATTCTAACAATGTTTTTTTTTTTTGTTATGATCGTGTATCGATTTGAATCACTAATCTTGCGTAAAATTGTAAGTGAATATCGATCGAATTCACCTATCTATTCCAAATTAAAAAACATTATTTATATGATGTCATTGTAAATTAAACTAAATGTAATTATAAAATCATCTTTTCTTGATTATAATAATTTAGATTAAATAATGTGATTCATTTATTTTTTATAGGAAAATCTCAATTTTTTTATATGTCTCAAATTAGTTTTTATTTTGAAAATTTTTATGCAATAAGATCTTTCAAAATTATATGTCTCTATCTGCCTTGATTTCTTGTTTTTATTAAATGAGTAGAAATAAAAAAATTATATCAATTTGAAATATGAATCTTGCCTTTTGGGACTTAGGATGATCAATCATTCTGGGTGGTTCTGCTTCATCTCCAGTGTGTAATTAGAAAAAAAAATTACCTAAAAATCACTAAACAAATTAAAATTTCACTAAATAGATCGAGTTTGAAAAAAAATTGGCCCATTACTGACCAAACTTAGTTGAACGAAATCTTAAGAAAAATCTAACACTTTATTATTTGTTTATGCTGTTTTAATGCCTTCTATATTTATAGTTTTAGTTTAACTAAATCAATATATGAGTGTATTTCTGTAACGATTATATATTAATTAGAGAGCACATGTTGATCCCGGTAATAGATCAATTTAGGGAAAATGGTATTGGTGATTAAAAAAAAAGGATAGAATGAGATATGTTGATTTATATGTACAAATATATTGACTTGTTTTATTTTATATTTAAATTGTTGATGTATATTATATATTTGACTAACATAACTGTTATTATTTACATATTTTATGTTAATTTTAACAGTGGACCTAAGTAGCCAGTACGAAGTAGACGATTATCCAGGCACAGGGGCCAATCCTAAGCATGAGCCTCCACCACCCCCAAGTTGGTGCTCTTCTTTTTACCTTTTTATGTTGTAATCAAATCCAACAGTTGAAATATCTTGTACACATACATAACATTAACGTTCCTAAACAAACAAATAAGTAAAAAATATTAGAAACACGACTTTTTACATACTAAACTCTCTTTCACTTATATTATTTCATTTTTTTTATAGTATAATTAGTCTAAGGAAATAAAAGTGTGATGTAACTGGGGTGATCCTTTTACAGGTTTTGGAAAGATGCAGATCAATGAAGACGATTTTGAAGTAACGAAACCTATCCTCTAATACAAATATCCAAATTCTCATTCAGTTGTAATCATGTTTCATGAAGTGATAGTGATATTAAATTATCACCATGATTATATAGAATAACCCATTTTATGAGAACAGATTACTATACTTCATGATTTAGGTAATTATAGATTATAATAAAACTAGTACAAAATTTAAAACATCATCTTAGCTTTAACAGTTACTTTACTAGCGGAGTTCGATATTTAAAAACATTGAACTTTTGAAACCATGATTTTCTTTTTCATATTTAGATTTTGGAATAGACCGCACGAGAAAGTTTTTAGTTGTAGTGTTTAGTTAGCAAGTAAACTTTTTTATATTCGTCTTGTTACGATCAAAAGTACAAGAACGGAGATTTTATCTTTTCCCTTTTAATAATAAAGATACTTTTTTTATTGTTTGTCACGTGTCCGAAGGACATATATTAACGTATGTGATCGATTTATACTTTTTAGTAGCCATGATATTTTCCATCAAATGAAAAAATTTGTTGACAAATTGCCCTTTACATACTATTACATGATTGTCCATACACGGTTTAGATATTCAACCTTTAAACTAAAAAAAATGTGAATTTAGATATTAAATCCAATTAATCTAAGTGGATTTGAATGCTTTAAAATTCAATCAATGCTCACATTTACCATTCGTTTTGAGTTCCTCTTCAGTGGTTACCAAATTACCTATGAGTTTATATATGATACATAGGTATAGAAGGTTAAGGGGACCCTTACCTCATTCATATTGTCGGTTCAGCCAGGTTAGCTAAATTTTGGCTCGCTACTACTTATGTGAGCTAACCCTAACTCGTGTCGTTGAAAGTTATGACAGCCCATGGTAAGCCACATCCCTGTATTAAGTCCCGTTGGATATTCACACATCCCTGTAAGAGTCTTAACTTTCCACCCTCCTAGGTCTATGTCGCTTTTGCTATGAGCTATGACTTGAAGTTCCATTTTACAGAATATAAATCACTTAATAAGGCCTTAGTTCTGTACCAAAGTGCTTTATATAAGAGACTTCAGTGGGGTGAGTAAGTTCTATAAGATGAAGTTTTGAATTCAAATCCAAGGTGCAGTTAATTTTAACTTTTTACATTATGACAAATAGTTTTTACTTCACTTAAAAACTAGAAATTATGGTTTAGAGTACTTTATAAACACTTTTATTCCTTAATCGACTAAAATAGGACAGAACTGTAACAGTGCGTTGCATTTGTTTTGAACTAGTGCTATAGAAATCACAACTCCACGAACTAGTGCTATAAAAAATCGGCTGTTGAAACTGAAGCTGGAGCATATTGATGAGCAGTGATAGTTTGAAATTGCGAAAGGACAAATTACATCCATTTGACGCTATCAAATAATAATATTTTAATTATAATTATATTATCTTTTAATTTAAAATTATATTATATATTATTATATTATTAAAAAGAGTGTCAGATGAATTTTTTTAAATGGAGTGTCAAACCAACCTTTTTTTCATATGTTAACTCTAAAATCAGGGTAGCATTTGTACATGTTGAGGGGCTATTGTCCATTATTTTCACTTTCCACTAAAGAAAAACCCTGTTCCAGAATCATCTTCTTCCCTTTCCACTTGTCTAGAAACAACCTTTTTTTCTCGTGGGAAAAAAACTTAAACATTAATTAAAACAAAATGGAGAAAATATTTTATAACTAAAGATTAGTGAACAATTAACAACATTCCTTGAATACTATCTTCGTCACTATCAATCACAACAGCTACGATTTCCTGCTGAATAGGAGTGTGTGAAGTTTTATATATATATATATATATATATATATATATAAAAGGGTACAACTTTCACTCCGTGTTATTTTCTGACGAGCACACATTTCTTTCTAGTTTTTTCTTTCCCCTCTACAGTTTCTCTTGTATTTTCTCTTTTTTTGGTATTCTCTCTCAAACCGTGAGAATCACGGGTCTCTAACCTAGTTTCTAGGGTGAACACATAAGTATTCTCGTACAGGGTTATTAATTTTCTTAAAAAATGATAAGGTGAACATAAGTACATGCTGACAACCCTTACACGGTCCTAATGATTGATCCAATAGCACTAAACAAAGATACTCTGTAGTGGGATAATTTGCTCATCAACCCCAGATAATCCACTTCTAGGTTTATGATGAGTAAAGCCATGTTTGGATAAGCAGTTTCTACACACACTTACAGAAATAAAAAAGGGAAAAAAAGTAAATTCTTCTCATAAACTAAAATAAAATTGTCCTTATCCGATGAACTTAATATTTTTAAATTTCATTATCTTGTAAGTTCAATTCAAAGAAGGCCAGAAGGAAACAACTAACTGAGTTCGTGAAATAAGACATGACAGGGTTAAAAGCCATCCCGCATTACTCTATATACCATTCAACTCAGTACAAACCTGAAAAGAGCATATTTTTTTACTTCCCCGATGACAATGCTTGCAAGTTGTAATAGACGATACGATCAAAACATAAAACAACAAATATATAACAAACAAAGCAACATAATTCTACACACCTATTCGAATCCAGATAACCACAGAGACAGACGAAAATTACAAATTCACCAATTCAGTGACTAAAATGCAACAAAAATAAACATATTAGTACTTTGCAAGCCTATCCGCTACCCACAACGCTAAATTTGTAATTAACACAGAACTGCGTCGAATATCTGAATGAAAACGAAAGAAACCCGTTGCTATCATGAGACGAAATCAGCTTTATTTCACTTCAAATATAAAAAGCCGCAAGAACATTAGCAAATCACGACAAACAGCAAGTAAAACATTACCGATGCATTCATCAATCCAACACCCAGTCAAACTATATACATAGAGATGTAATAGTTATATATATCTATTATATATACTGGAATAGCATTAGAGCGAGTCCAAACCGAGATAGCTTTTGAATTTTGAAACCTTACGATAACACAAGCCAGTAGGAGTTGTTTGGTTCAGTAATCCACTCGATAATCGCTGTAATCGTCACGCGCAATACTAGCAGCGACGTCGTTCTCGACCCTATCCGCGATTTTGTCTTCTTCGTATTTAAGCCCCTCCTCGAGAGCAAGCCCACCGAGAGCTCCAGCAACAGCGCCGACAGCGAGGCCAGCGCCTAGGCCCATTTTGGAAGGCCTGGGTTTGGGATCGTAGGAGGTGGAATAATCCAGCGGAGCGGAAGGACCACTGGGCCCAGCGTAACGGTCGATGAAGGGTCTAGGAGGAGGAGGAGGAAGAGCACCAGAATAGTAACCAGGGTAGTAAGAAGAACTATAGGAATCGGGGTAAGAGGGGTACGAGGGGTATGGAGATGGTGGTGGCGAAGGGGAATGGGAATATCCCCTGTAGAAGACGAAATTAGGGTTATTATGGTTGGGGCTGGGATTGGGGGTGGGGTTAGGGTTAGGGTTAGGGTTGAGATAGTCGAGGGATTGGAATTGGGGGCGGCCAAGGAGGCCAAGTTTGAGGTGGATCTTACCGTGGGGACGGCCGGAGGGGCGGGAAAGGGGGAACTTGCGGAGGCGAGTGGAGTCCTGGAGGTCGTGAAGGTCCTTGAGAGGGAGGCGGAGGGTGGCGACGAGGGGTTTGAGGGTGTCAGAGGGTTTGGAGTGGAAGATCTCCAGGGTGAGGAAGGAGTCGTGGAGGGGGAGAGGGAGGGGTAGGGCGAAGCGCTCGTTCCAGACGGGGGAGGTGTTGCCGGAGTCGTCGGATTTGGTGGCCAGACGCCGCTCGGGGTCCACCCAAAAAACGACGTAGGGCTTCAGATCGCCGTTCTTCCAGTTGACGTTCTTGAGGTGCTTCGCCGCCACGATGGTGAGGTCCAGATCCACTGATTTCGACGGTGGGGGACGCGATGACGCCATCTTCCTTTCTTCTGTGCGCTTCTCAATAGCTCAACTTTCAGTACTCGGAAAAGAACCACAACTTAATTTTTGTGAAATATGATATTGGTTATGTAATTTTCCTTTTAACTTTTAATCCATCTTTCCTTATCCACTTGCTGCTTCCTCGACATAAAAAAATTGTTTACAAATAAAACGGTCCATCGAACGAATTTTGAAATTAAAGGATTTTTTTATGTTGTTGACTAAAGTATAAAAATCATCTCGTCTCTTAATACGGAGAAAGTAAAAAAAATGACATTTTTCACGTGTTATTTTTAATTTATTAATTTTGTTTTCTAAGATTGAGAAGAAATATTTTCGAAACTAAATATAAGACTTTGGATAATTGAATTGTCTTTTCACGATGTTAGAGCGTTAGAGCATTATTGAGATAAATCAATGAAATATCTGTATCTTATTTTCCTGTGTTATATATATATATATATAGAATGATAAAATATTTCGATAGATCCTATTGATAAATATGTATGAAGAGAATGTTTAAATGTTAATTATCACTGATACACTATTTAGAATAAGTAAGTGATTAAATGATAAAAACAAAGCTTAAATATTTATTCATTTTTAAGTTAAATAGTTGTATTTTAGTTTAGTATCTGATTTTAAAAGTGGATTCTAAAATTGTAAAAATTATATGAATTAAATCTCTTCTATTAAAATCACAGAAACAAAATTTTAATGCGTCGAAAGAATATACATTTTTTCTTCTCTGCTTTTTCTGTGATGTCGGAATTTTTTTTCTTTTTTCTGTATCTTTATGAATTTCTTTTACTCTCTCCTTTTTTTTCACCAAACCCATCCTCCCTTTTCTCGAACTCTCTTATTTCCTTTCAATCCCTTGAGTCACCCACTAAAGCTTCTACAAATCTAATACTCCCATAAGATCTATATGAGTTAATCCATTTAATTCTCGAATCTTTGTGGATTGATTAGGTGAAGAAATATTTTAAACTCACCATAAATAGATCAGACATATTTAAATTCACAGCTGACAAAAATATTAAATCATTTAAATAATTTGAAATTGCTTGACAATGGAATCTCATTAGTCAAGATGTAAAAAAAATCTTCAATGAGCTATATTTTTATTTCATTATTATTATAACGGTGTATTTACATCTTACTATGGTTATAAAAAGTAATAATTTATAATTATAAAAATACATATAAATAAATTTAAGATTTTATTATAGAAATTTTATATTTATTATTATAAATAACTATTTTAGTTTAAAAAAATAATTAACTTAAAAAGCAGTTAAAGTGAAAATACTTAAATTTTAAAAAATAATTATTTTAATTAAATAAAAATACTTATTAGAAGTAAAATTAGAAAATAGTTATATATAAAGATGATACTCTTCGTATTTATGTTTACACTGATAACAATAACTTATAAATAATCATAATAGATTAAATATAATACTTTATGTTTATGATAATAATAATAACATATAAATATTGTCACATTCCGAAATAATATAATAATTTTTTTTTTTCAGATTGTACTAAAAAATCAATTATGAAAAACAGAAAAAGAAAAAGAGATGTCATACCTATTATGAAAATAACTAATATAGAAAGAGAAAAAGATGGGACATTACAAAAAAGTAGAGGAAAGAAAAGAAAAAATGTAGATTTCTCCATCACTGGAAGTTAACTCCGTTTCTGCCCACGCAAAGGACATGATTTATACAATTTTTATAACTTTGGGATTCAATGCATGCACTTTTAAAACCAGGTACTAAACTAAAAAAAAATACTTAAACTCAGGAATCAAGTAAGCATTTAAGCCTAAAAACAACACATTAAAGACAAAAATAAGAGTAAAGAAAACATTATAGAGAGAAAACTTAAGCGACCTGTAATCATTAAGACAAAAAGAACTTTAGAAGTAAAGAATGAGGATCACAACTTTGAATATTCTAATTCAATTTTTACTTTTTGGTTATAACATTTTATAAAGAGGAGAAAAACTTAAGATATCTAGAGACAATAAAGATAAAGAGAGCTTTTGAAATAAATGACGAGGATTGTAACTTTGAATGCTTTAACTCATCAATTTTTTATCTTTTGGCTAAAACATTTTAGTGTTCACTATAAGATATTGGTAAAACACTTATCCATACTCAAATTTTTACTTTTCCAATACATATTATCACAATCAATTAGGTTGTAAGGTGTAGAGTTCACGCCTTATACTATCACGTGTCATTGATTCATATTCTCTAACTCAGTTCTCAAATTACATCATGTTGATGCCTTATGCGATCGTCACTTCCTATAAAAAGCACCACATTGAGAGCATGTAAGATCTTATAAAGAAGTGCAGTTTCTAAAATCTTAAAATTAATATTTTTAACATTTCTAGTTCAAAGTTTGGTTGCCTTCTGATGGAATATAACGATCATCCAGTAATGAAAATCTCTCCATTGATTTTATTGTGATAGACTTGATACCCAACAAGATAAGTTGGTCGTATATTTTTCTAGTCTCGTGCTCTGAATAGCTAGAGGTTGGGGGTTGTGTGATGATACAAATTAGATTATTCATGAGGAGACGGTATATGTTTTACATATCATTAACTCATTGTCTTGGTGGTTACGGAAGGAGTTAACTTAAGAGACTCACGAGAATAAAGATAGAGAGGAGTTTGAAAGTAAAGGAAGGAAATTATAATTTTGAATGCTTTAGCTAATCAAACTTTACCTTTTAACTAGACAATGTTTAAAGGAGAGGAAGAGACCCAATATAATTAAGATAAAGAGGATTTTGAAAGTAAAGGAGATGATCACAATTTTGAATACTTGATTAGATTTTCCCCTTTACTAACATAGAAAAATATATGCTAATAAATTTCTTTGATCCTTAAATAAAAGTAAAGAATTAATCAAAAACAAATATGAGATAAATTCATTATTAAGTACCTGTCATTTAATTATAACCAATATATCTTATATTATAATATGTATCCTTTACACACATATATTAAAATTACTTGACAAATAATTTGTCACAAATATATCTATGAATATCTCAAATATAATTTCATAAGTTCGAAATTTATAAATTAGGTGCAGGTGGTTCGAATTAATGAATTATCAAGTTTTATTAGGCATAAAGTTTCAACACAGATAATTAATTGTATTTTTAAAATAACTTTTGAGAATTACTTTCACCTAGTTAAGAGACCATCTATTTTAAAATGATCTCTACATTTTTAACTTAAGTTGCTTTAATTTGATTAATGTAACACGTTAAATAACTTTGATTTAATATATTTTACGTAGTCATCGAATAATTTTGGTTTAACAATAACTTTAATTTAAGGTGTTAAGTAAACATTATATGAGTTGGATCCATGAAATATGCTACATGATTTTGATTTAACATTTAAGTAGATATTTTTGAGTTTTAATAAATTTTATTATATAAGTAGCTTGTAATACTCATATACCAAGTTTTAGGAATGATTTTAATTTAATTAGACTATAAATGTAATTTCAATGAAGTTGAGATCAAAAAGATTTTTCTTATAATTTTATAGAATGTGTAATTTTAGTTTTTAATCTATTTCTCCAAATTTAAGTGTTTTAGTTTCTAATAATTTATGATTTTATTTTTTAGTTTGATTTCCAATTCAATTATTCATAATTTTTTATCATTTTAAATATGACCAAACGATATTATGACGAAGCACATGATACTCGTGGCCTTTTACACTATCAAAAAAGTAATAATTAAATTTAATTTATTGTAATTTAACATTTTTTAAAGTAATATACTAAATTACTCTCTCTATATATAATAAAACTTTAATTTTGTTAACTAAATAAACTATAAGAAAAATGCGCGAAAGAGACTAGCAATGATAGGCATTTGAAGAAGATGAAGTGGATATACCGGTAATAATAAATAGGTTTAAGTGAGTGAAGGGTAGAATGGTCTGTGCATATTTCACAATTTTGACATTTTCTTTCCCAGACGCAACAACCAAAGTGAAACTTTGTAGTTGAGTCGAATCGTGTCGTGGTGGACATCACATTCATTTTCATTGATTGGTACCAATCCAACACCATTTTTCATGTGCCAACGGCGAGATCGCCATTACTACAACACAGACAAGAAGTAGCAAACACGAGGAGGGAGTGGGTGCATTTCCTGCTTCTTCCCTGAGACCGCAGTTAAAGTGTAAACCCCTTAACACTAAAACCCAGATTTTCGTTTCCCCCCCAGTGGGGAAAACAGAAAAAAAAAGAGAGGAAGAAAAACATGTCGGACGCTTTGATCAATGGATTGGCCGGAGCTGGAGGCGGGATCATTGCTCAGCTCATCACGTACCCACTTTCAACTGTACGAATATGGTGTAAAAAATAGGATTTTTTTACCTTTTCTTTGAAAAAATTTCGTCAGGGTCGTCGTGTAAGGATCCCAAGATTTAATTTGTCTGACGTGATCTATAGGTAAACACTCGTCAACAAACCGAGCGTGATCCGAAGAGAGAGACAAGCAGCCAAGGTGCCCTCGAACGAATGTGCCAGGTTAGCAAGGATCACACGATTGTTTAGATGAATTTAATTTTGGTTTTTCTGTTGTGATGGAAAGAGAGAAGGTCATTGTGATGGTGTTTATGTATAGGTTGTAAAAGAAGAAGGGTGGGAACGGTTGTATGGAGGCTTGATGCCGTCTCTAGTGGGTACCGCTGCGTCTCAGGTGAGCTCCTTTTAGTTCGTGTTTGGAATATTGCTATTTTTTTTTGTGGTTCTGGATTTGATTGCTGAATTCGTGAGTAAACTAAAATTATGAACGATTGAAGTGGATTTATTTTGAGGATGTTATCGTCAACACATGTGTTTACAACCAAGATGACAGCAAGATTAACAAGGTCTTGAACATCTGTATTTGACTTTGATTTTGGCTGCAACTTTTTATGTTTTTGAGCTCTTTGCGACCATATTGTGACTGCATTTGCTGCAATGTCAAGGATCATGATCAAAACTGTGATTGTGACCAAAATTTGAAACCTTGATGGTTAATGCCAAACAAATAAATTTGAAAGCGGTTTAATTGTGTTCGAAACTTTGATGTAATCATGTAATGGGAAGCCAACAGGGGAGTCAGTCATAGATTCAGAGGATTCATACTTTTGTAGTTCTTATTCTTCTGACTTTCTCTCTATAGAGTTGTCAAACACCGGGTTTGATTGTTTGGAGGCTTGATAGTACAGGCACGTAAAAACTAGTTATTTCTTCAACCATCAACTATCTCGTATAATATTGACTAATAGAATTCACGCCCATTTGTTTCAGATCTATGGTACAATTGATTTTGATAGCATTAATTTTAATCCGTTGGATATGATTGAAACGTGCGTCCAAATTAATCTCAGCCACGAATTCTACATTTAAGCATATGCCACTGCATGGGAAATTGATTATTGCTGTAAACCAAAATCCTATTGTTTGATGTTGATGGTCTGGAGTGTTGCTTGCTATCTTTTTAAAAAATGATGGAAGTTTTCCATCCTTGGTTCCTGCGTGATATACTCTCTGGTAACTTGCTTCTGCAATGTTCTGACTTAGGTTTCAATGTTTTAATATCTCACAATTTTATTGTACAGGGTGTTTACTATTATTTCTATCAAATATTCAGGAACATGGCTGAAGCAGCTGCGCTACAGAAAAAGAAAATGGGTGTCAGTGATGGATCAGTTGGGATGCTCTCCTCTCTTCTCACTGCTGCTTTATCCGGGTAGTTTACTTTGTCTTAGTGTACAAACCCATTTGGTTCTACTATGCTACGTTCTTGTTAAGCTTTTCTTTCAGCTATGGCAGTTGATTTTTCATATTAACATCATCGTTTAGTTCTGAAGGCTCTATTTCGACATTTCTCAAATTTGACTTTCAAAAAGAACTGCTGAACTGACATTTCTCTAATAAAAGAGCAAACTGTTAAATGCCGATTATGTTGGTAGAAATGATTATGAATTGTCTCACTGTCTCCGTACTCATGTTTAGTGGTATTACCTAATTGCTAGATAAATCTTTGTGTAGGTGTGTTAACGTGCTCTTGACAAATCCCATATGGGTAGTTGTTACTCGTATGCAGGTAATTTGCTTTTTGTTATTCATTTATTGTTCTCTGTTTTTAATGCTTTCCTTTCTCTTGTTGCTTTTCCTAGCCCTTTTTTGTCTTGTTTCTTGGTATACACTAATTATAGTGAAATAGTTAATACTGATTAACTCCTGGGAGAACTTCCTTTTCTCCGAATTTTTTTGTTTTTTGCATGTGGTTATTAGAATGTAAATAAATTATTAAGACTATTATTGAGGATTTTATTTCCTTTCTAGTAAGCTAAAACATTTTCATAAGTAATCAAAATTGTAAGTAGATAAACTTCGAAAAGCAGTTGTCAAAGATACTTTTGAATGTTGGTCTCGATTTCACATAGTTTAGAGCTTTCATGGATTTGGGAACTATTTGGGAATATTGTATCACGCACAAAAGATTATTTTGTTGCTTTAAATTGTTTCAGTATATAATATATAATAGGTTTAATGTCTCGGTAGGTCCCTATTTTCGGCGTGAATCTCAAATAGGTCCCTTTTCTTTTCGGCGTCTCAATTGGGTCCCCATTTTTGTAAAATTGTAACAATTAGGGGTCTGCCGTCAAATTGGACAAACGGCCGTTTAATTGTTTCTTACGTGGCATGAACAGTGTTTTCAGTAATGACACGTGGCATGATTCCCATCTGACACGTAAGAAACAATTAAACGGCCGTTTGTCCAATTTGACGGCAGACCCCTAATTGTTACAATTTTACAAAAATGGGGACCCAATTGAGACGCCGAAAAGAAAAGGGACCTATTTGAGATTCACGCCGAAAATAGGGACCTACCGAGACATTAAACCTATATAATACATGGTCTGTCACTGATTTCGTTTTACTATTTTGTATTTCTCATAGTAATCAAAATTGTGTTCTCTTGTAATTTAGAATAATAAATGATAAACAAAAGCTGTCTGTCTCTCCTTTGATTTTCTCCTGCCAACGTTAGCTAGTAAGTCTTGGATTCTGACTTTGCTATTTTATGTCAAAAACCTTTTTTACTGTTCAGGCACATAGAAAAGAGTCGAACCATGCACCGGATCAAGGTTTGTTAGTTTCCACTGAGCAAGAAACTATTTCTGCAGTTGAGCTTCTTCCTTACGGAACTAGCCGTGTGGTAAGTAAAGTCTATATTGGAATCTTACGTAATTTAGAGAAGTTATGCCAGCTTGGCTTTTCTGATGTGATATCTTTGAAAAACTCATCTTACAGTCTTGTTTCATATACCGGTTTTCATATTCCAGTTAGAATAGATTGTCTGAAAATATTCACACAAATTGATTGATGATTCTCGCCCCTCCCCCCTCCTATAATATGCAGAGTTTTACTAGTCCTGATAATGCTTGGGGATTCTGATGATGCTTTATACTTTTCAAACCCTCTTGTTTCCTTTATGTGTAATTTTTACAATTTTGCAGATTCAAGAAATCTTTGATGAAGCTGGTATTCGGGGTTTCTGGAAAGGTGTATTACCATCACTGATCATGGTATGTTGAAAGTGAATATCTTTCATGCTGAGGGAGTATTACTAATCAGTTGTTGTTTAACTCAGGTAAGCAATCCTTCCATACAGTTCATGCTGTATGAAGCCATGTTGTCAAAGTTAAGAAAAAGACGTAACAGCAACAGGGTAACTGCTTTAGAGGTATTATGTCATTTGGCCACTCTACATAAAAACTCTTTTCAATGATGTCCTTTCCATATATATTCTCTTATATTGCATTGTTGCTATATTGTTATTGAAACTTCCCTATGACGCTAGATATTTTTTCTTGGGGCTTTGGCTAAGCTTGGAGCTACTGTTGTAACTTATCCACTCCTTGTTGTAAAGGTATACCATACTAGCGTTTTCTCTCTTGGTTGTGATTGTGAAAGCATTATCCTATAGTGTTATTGATTATAAGCTGAAATGATCTAAACTTGCTTTCAACGTGAATGACAAAGATATCATATAGTTTAGTTGGCATTGTTGCAAACGGATATCTGACATGTTTATATTAGCTTTCTTAAGCCTTTATGAACTGAAAACAAATTCAGTAATTTATTAGGGACCGAAAGTATGTTTAGGCCTTTACTTTATATGATTAATGACATTTAAGTAATTATAAGGTGTGATTATACGTGGGTATGCACACCTCACTATCCAATGGATATCTGTTTAACTATCTATTTTCAGTGAATAGATGGTTTTATCTGCAAGTTTTTGCTGTTAGAGGTTGTTTATGCCATTCGTATGCATATTTTAGCGGTGATGAGCTTCAGATCATTTAATCTGTCTGGCATTGTAATAATCTGTCACGTTATTTTTAAATTTAATTCAGATAACTTGTTTCAAATATGCCAGAAGATTTGTTACAAATACTAAAGGCCTTATTTTTAAAATTGTGTTAGCATGTTGTTGATCTGTCACAATGATTTATATTATTCAGTAGATGTAATGAATGGGGAGGACTGAAAATATTATCAGTGAGAAACGCCTTTCTCAATTTCTTACATGTTATTTTGTTCCCCCAGGCGAGGCTCCAGGCTAGGCAGGATAAAACAGGAGACAGGAGGCACCATTACAAAGGTATAAGTTGTGATGATATTTGTTTTACCTTGTTTATCAAGAACGTGTATCCACATATAGTATTTATTGTGGATTTTATCCGTGAAAAAAGAAAACATCCACTATGTTGTGATACAAGTTAATAGAAAACCAAGTTTGAAATTTAGAAATTTTAGTCTTGGTCCTTCCTGTATAAAGTTGCATAATTTTGTTTGAATTCAGGTACCAGGGATGCTATTATTAAAATGATCCGCTATGAAGGGTTGAATGGGTTTTACAAAGGTATGGGCACAAAAATTGTACAGAGTGTGCTTGCTGCTGCTGTTATATTCACCATGAAAGAAGAACTGGTTAGGGGGGTTCACTTCTTGCTTGCCAAGCAAGCTGCCAAAACTGTAAAGCTAAAGCCTGTCTGATTGATTCGAGGTCGCTGGCCTCTTCAATATTTCGTTTACCATCTTCAGTTAGAAAATTAGTTTTAAAATGGTAGTTGGAGAACTAAAGTGATTCAAACAGTATGTTAAAATATCTGCATCTTCATTATTTTTATCACAAAGCATTGGTTCATTTTATGAACAAAGCAGGCTTGTGGGTTTGAAGTATGCTGCTGGAACAAGTATTCCTTTTACTAATGAGTATCAGCGTTTGTTGATTTCCTTGGTAGTTGAGTTTTTGAACTTTTTTTTTTCAAAATTCAATTCAACTGAAACCAAAATTACTATTCTTTTTCATTATCAGATAACAATATGGTTGACACTATGGATGGAAAATAAATGTTGAAGTGCAATTTTATTTCTGCCTCTTTAAAACTTATTGAGTTCATCAATATCCTCTTCTTTTAAGATTCAACAAGTTTTAAAAAACAAAATTTTGACGAAGTTTTACGTTTTAAAGTGAATAATACTTTAGATGTGTGGTGATTGATTCTAATGTCAAATTCTTAAATTTTGACTTTTGCCATTGATTAACATTGTTGAAATTGCTTAAAGGGATTTTGTGTTTGGGGATGTAAAATAAAATCCTAACATTAATATTTAACCATGAAAATTTTCTAATTATTTCCTTCGCGTAACATATTTTACATGAAACATCTGACCATTCTATATAATCTTTAATTGGATACATTTTCTATTCCTCTTGAATATAATTTAATGTTTGAGAACCTTAACTATACTAACCAGTAAGCAACACCCCTAAAGCCCAACAAACATGTTCCTTGGCATCCATGAATAAAATGCCAAAATTGGAAGTGGTAAGCTAAGGTCTTTATGACAATACAATGTACCAAGCTCATGGATTTTCTTGGCTGGAGGCGATGAGGAGTTGGTGTAATAATGATTGATGGTTACGTTTCTTTCAGGGTGGCTGACTAGAACTATTCATAATTGGTGTGTTTTATACAGTTCAAGGATGAATCACGACCATGGAAGTGGAAGCTGTTGGTCATAAATTAATAGCTGTTTCTGCATCAAGTTGGTGGTGAAATTAATTCAATGTCTCATGGAATAGAGTTCTCAAATAATGATATAAATATCAATTATCCGTTGCTGTAACTAAATGAATAAATAATTAATATATTGAAAACTTCAAACACTTATAAAGTAAATACTTATTCCGCAAAATGGTTCACTTTAGTTTACACTTAAAATGGTATCATTAGGTTTCAAATTGTAGTTTGACTTGAATTTTTATTAGCTGAAATTATGTTGTTACTTTGTTTCTATTCGTTTGTTCATACCATTAGTAAAATCATAAAATGTAAATATAATATTTTAAACGTTATTAATGTTCATTTCAAGTTTATATATGGAGTCTTTTATATTTACTATTACACATTATATTCTGTTATATTGAAATAAAATAACAATCTATATTTTTATAGAAGCTTAATTTTTTAAATATTTTTATATATTTCAAAAAGACAAATGTTTTATAACTTATCCCGTTTAATTCACATCTATTTAAACATTGGACCCAATTAATAAAATTAACTCATCGTAATTAATCAACCTAATCGAACTTAAAAATGGGTTTACTAATAATATATCATTTAAAATAGGTCAGATTGACACAACTATCGCCTCTAAGAATTAGGTCATGTCGAGAATTAATAATGTTGGGAACTTGAGTGTAATTGTGGATTAAAGTTGGTTGTTTTGTAGTGCTTAGATAGTGAGGCAGAGATATTATTGAAACAAAAATTGTTTCATACTAAAATTAAGATTTGACTATCCAAGAGGAATAATCAAAGTAAATAAACTAGTACAATAAATAAACTCTTTTCTTCAAAATCAACAATAGTACGTAATCATATCATTTGACTCTATTCATGTTAGTAGGAATAGTTTAAGTGGATGAAAAGTTAATGGTGAAATGAAATCCCATGTAATTTAGATATTTAGGGTGTTGCTCCCTCCACCACCACACCTTTCTTCCTCCACCTCCCCTTTACTATTTTGCCCTTAAATAAAATTTTATTTTTAGGGTTAATTTTTTTAATTTTACCCATTCACAACCTATTCCACTAATAACCTATTTTAGTTCCTCCTACATGAGTAAAATATTTTTCTTTTATTTTAACATTATTTTTCTTCATCTCTTTCTTTTGTCGCGGTGAGATACTACAAGTTGTAAAGGTTGGTGGTAGTGGAAAGAATTATCAAGTAGTCTCCCTCTCGTGGTGCAGTGTCGCTCTCGTGATGCAGTGTCGCTCTCGTGATGCAGTGTCGCTCTCGTGGTGCAGTGTGTGGAGTGGTGCAGTGCGTGTGTTGCTTCCTTAAGGTGTGTTTTCGAATAAACCTTCAAATAAAACCCTAAAATAAAAAACGTAACTTTTAAACGGTGACATCCTTCAACGAATGTCAACATCCGTTTAAGGAAAGAACGGATGTCAACATCCGTTTAAGGAAAAAAACGAATGTCAACATCCGTTTAAGGAAAAAACGGATGTCGACATCCGTTTTTTCCTTAAACGGATGTTGACATCCGTTTTTTTCCTTAAACGGATGTTGACATCCGTTCTTTCCTTAAACGGATGTTGACATCCGTTCTTTCCATAAACGGATGTTGACATCAGTTCTTTCCTTAAACGGACTCCGAGTTACGTTTTTAATTTTAGGATTTATTTTATTAGTTTATTCTTTATTTTGGAAATATTTTAATAATTTAATTTAAATGTTTTGATTTATTATTTTTTAATATATTTTTAATGTATTTTAATAATGTAAGAAAAATGAAGAAGAAAGAATCGTATGAGGAGAAGTGAAACGGAAAAGACAAATGGAGTTGTAAAGTAAAACAGAAGACAAATTGTTAAACGAAATTGAGAGATGGAAAGATTGAGTGCAGGGAGTAAAGTAGGAGAACTAGGTTTGGAATAAATTAAAATAATAAAAATAAAAAATTTTAATTTGAGGATATAATTGGAATTAAAAAAAATTGGGGAGGTGGAGGGAGAAAGGTGTGGTGGTGGAGGGAGCAACACCCAGATATTTAATGTGCAAAAACTATGATCCAAACCCCGAGTTCAATCATCCGGTGTAGAAAATGCAAATATATAATATGTTTACTTGCTTTCAAAAGTTACAGTATGATTTTTTTTCTAAAATAAAATACTAGCAGGTATAATAATAGAGACAAGAAATGTATAATATATAAGTAAACGTAAATTTTATGTTATTCTAACTATTGTATTTATAATATTATCTGTCATTAGAGCCTCTATAGTCACATACTTAGAATCACAGTGATTATAAGTATAATAAATATATAATATAAATATGTATAAATTTCATCTTATAAACAAATTTTATATAATTGAATTATACTTAAAATCAAATTTTTAATATAATATCAAAGTTGATTTAAAAGTGAGTGTGTTAAACGTCGATAAAAAATAAATCAACTATGAAATTATGATTAAACCACTGCGCCTTGCCTTGAATTAAAAAAGTTGAATTCCGCTGCCATTGGTGAAATTCCATCCCGCTGTGCTTCAATTATCGGTATTGTTGATTACAAATTGATTGATCCACTGTTACGCAAATCTTTATGATCTGATATGTGAATGTCAATTCCATTGGAATAGAATGAATTGAATTGATGGTTTCCCCTGTAAATGTGAACTGTAATGTGGACGCATATTGAATTGCAATTAATGTTTTAACTTTATTATATGATTATAAATTAAAAAGGCTTGGAATTGGAAAAATGTTTCTCCTCTTCCTTCTGCAATAAAAGGCCTTCGATTGGGTGATTTGGAATTAATGTTTACGTTTTTATATTGTTAAATAAAAAATAATGAGAGTGAAAGTAGTATGTATGATTAATAGCAATTAAGAATATTTATTTATTTGAAATCAAATATTTAGTCGGTGGCTAAAATTTTAAAGTTATTTTGATTTCAAATTATTAATATTTTTATTTTAATTATTTGTAGTATAGATGTTAAACTATGAATAATTTATTTATGGGTTAATTAAAAGTTATTATTATAAGACATTTTGTCCAAAGGTTAATTAATTGTTCGTATAATTAATAATCTAATTTTATTTAAATACATAAATGTAGTAGGTGATTCTATGCATATTTTAATTATCATTAATGTTATAATATGATTAGCATCGTTAGTTTTATGTATAAATGAATATTACAAAGAACAATATTAGTATACATAGAATAGAATGATTATTTACGTACGAATATGTATTTATGTTTAGTTTTATCACTCAAAGCATTAGGTACATGATAATTATAGTCTATTGAATTTTTTTAAATAAAATGAGTAAGTCTAATTTCATTTAGGTGTATTGAATCTTATTTTGGCTTTTCATTGAAAAGCCTGTTGTTACCACTAATGCTAGTAGCCATAAAGAGAAAATTCATTACAAAATTTGAAAAAGGTAAAAAAAAAATTAGTTTGATGTTTATGCGAATGAAAATAGCAAGCAACATTAAGTTTGTTCTTTCCAAAACTAACAATGTAAAAGAATTTATGAAATTTGTGGAATAGTGCTCCCAAACTACTGAAAAAGTCCATCACTCGGACTTTGATGAGTATCTTGACCACCGTAGAGTTTGATACTTAGCGTATTATACATGACCACGTGATCGAGATGACAAATATCATAACAAGACTCAAGTCTCTAAGAATGGCAGTGGATGAAAGTTTTCTCGTATAGTTGATGTGTGAGAATCATGAATCTTAAGATCCTAAAGTATATTTTAGGAATGAATTAGGAACAAAGAAAAATATCAAAAGAATTTATATGTTTGGGTAAGATAACCATAACATAAATGATGTGAAGAGGGTGACAATGCTGGTTGATTGTTTCGAAAGCATGTTTCATGCTGATAGTGGTAAAATGAAGGTAAATCTTGTTCAAATACGTGATTACGTGTAATTGATTACTTATGTGTAATTAGTGGTATAAAGAAAAATAAAACTTAAAGAAAAGAAGTTGAAAAATATTAAGAAGAAACTAAAAAATATTAAAATTTATAATTAATATTAATATTAATATAATTATTATTATATTTTATTTTAAATTCTTTTTAGACTAAAAAAAGATAATAATCAACTAATTTAATTTATTAA